CGTCTAATAAAAAGAGCGCGATTTCGTGCCATGTACGTGACTTTTTCTCGACAAAGTCCTATATCGCGATTACCGATATGCGGCAGCCGTTGCGTCATTTAAAATCTGGCGAAACGTGATCGTCCATTTAACCTCGAAAAGTCAGCCGTTGCCACGAAGGCGATGGGCGAACCGCGAGCAAATAATCGTTCATGATCGCGTCCGAGTCCACGTAAACATTCGCGTGAAGCGAGCGAGTGAGCGAGCCAGCGAGCGAGCGAGGGCGGGAAGACGCCATTCGCGATGACGACGACGATGACGAACGAGAAGGAACGCCGCGTAGATGTACGACGATTACATTTTAACCTCGCGGCGCTCTTCTCTCGTCGCTCTTGTCGCTTTGGTCGCTCGGCCGCGAGCGAGAAAGAGTGAGTCATCCTTTGGTACGCCGTACGCGCCACAACCAAACGATGGACTCCTTTTAGCCGTCGCTCTCTCGTATCTTTCCATCTCTTTCTATTCTTCTCCCATTTTTTTTTTCGCGCTCGAAACAAAATTCTACCCCGATAACGCCCTTAAGCCATAAGAATAACAAGGGGGAAGAGACGAGAGTGACGAGACACGAAAGACGCGGGATGAACGGGATCCGGAATGGATGGATCTTTAATGGCGCGGCCGCCGGAGCAGCCGTGGCCGTGACGAAGAAAGAAACGGATGCGTACCAACGGCCGCGACGACCATCGACGTGTCATCGGCGAACATCCTTCGTCGAGTATCGTTCACCGATGTACATCGCGTACATCGTAGTCGCCGACGGTTGGATTTAGCGCGTTCGCTCCTTCATACGCAGAGTCACAGAGAGCAACGGGGACAAGGGGCCAACAAGATGGACGTGCTACGCGGACTCGGGGCGAGGGGGATACGAACTCGGACAGACGCGCGGCGCGGAGCGGCGCGCCGCGGCGCAACGCAATACGGTTCGGCGTACCCGGGTATCCTGGCTATCTAATGGATATACGCGGGCAAATTACAACTCACGTGGTGCGCGGTGCCGTCGGCGGTTCTCGCATCTCGTTCTCCGTCGGCCTGGAGCCGCCTCCTCCTCGCCTCCTCTGCTACAAGTCTCACGCACACATACGCGCGCGCTGACGGGGGAGAGACGCGCGCCCGTCCCGATCCAGGGAATGCGCGGGGAGAGGCAGGGCTAGCGGAGGAGAGGGGCAAGGAGAGCCGTCGGAGATTAAGGGTAGTGGGGAGTCCGCAGAAGCCGTCTCATCGCCTCGTTCCTCTTCGTTCCTCCTCGTTCGGCTCGTTCTTCAAATCCTCACGTTCCTTCGTTTCACGCTGCTGACTGCCTGCCTACCTGCCTCTCCCGGCGTCTCACCTCGCCACTGACACCCACAAACAAATCTCCGATAATGGCCACGCGCCCTCGCCTACCGTCTCTTCGACTATCGCGACGGTCAGCCCGACAAAGCCGGACGCGGGACGATCGCTTTCGGTTGTCACAGACGCCAAGTCGCACGAGAATTTCACGGGAATGTCGCCCCAGCGCGGTCTACGTGCTCTCGCGGTTAACAGAAAATACGACAACTGTCATGGCGGCCCCTCGCCCACCCCGCAGGAACTTACGCGCGCGGGGCATCGCCGAGTAGACGGTCGCGGGACCGGTCCGTTAGGCGACTTTCGCCCGACGGGAGGGGCCTGACGGTGCCGAAAAAGAAATTATGCGGCCTGTTTTCCGATGAAATCTTGCACGGTCCGCTCGCATTCCTTCAGGTAAATGCGCCAGCTGGCCCCTTCCCGTCTCGCTAAAGTTGCGCGCGCAGTCCCCAGTCACGCGCTTGCCTCGCTCGTTTCCGGTGGCGGGAAAACCACACGATTATGAAAGCACGTAAAATCTTCCTTATTTTATGATCCGCATAATTTTACACAAAACTCAAGTTCGCTTTATATTTGCTGATGTTTTATGTTGTTAATTTTCAATTCTCGATTTTCAATTCGATGTTCTGAATTTCTAGAATTTTAATTCTTAGAAATTCACGAAATTCCTAAAATTCTGGGAAATTTTCAGAATTTTAAATATCACTTCCTATAATCTACTTGATGATAAATCTTTCTCTTTAAATAAATTTTTAGATTTTTTAATAGCGCGACTTCTTGTTAGATCATATTTTCCGGATATTTTTGAGATAATTAAATTTTTGTCGGTATTTATAAGATAATGTTAATAATTATAGACGTTAGTACACTTAGGGAAGTGTGTGTGTGTGTGTGTGTGTGTGTGTGTGAGACAGCCTTACTTTACTAACGTATATAATTATTATCTTATAAATACCGATAATAATTTTATCGATTAATTCGTTATTATCTACATTTACGATATTAATTAATTATTGAAAAAAATTTTAATTCTTAAATGTTAATTCTTAAATGTTAATTAATTCCAAACGCTCAGATGGTAAAGAATCAAATATGTAAACAACTAAAAAGTAATATTAATTAATTTTCGAAGATATAATTCGAAGAATCATAATTGCGAAGATTTTAAATGTAAATATTAAGTCTTGGAATCAAGAAATTCAAATTCTTAAAAAATAGAGAAAATCAAGAATCATAATTGCGAAGATTTTAAATGTAAATATTAAGTCTTGGAATCAAGAAATTCAAATTCTTAAAAAATAGAGAAAATCAAGAATCATAATTGCGAAGATTTTAAATGTAAATATTAAGTCTTGGAATCAAGAAATTTAAATTCTTAAAAAATAGAGAAAATCAAGAATCATTTAAGAACTCGCTGAAAAGTAAAGATTATGATTACCAGATTTTGAAGAATTTTAATTTAATTAAATTTAAAGGTATGCGAAAATAGATGAAAATTTAAAATATCAAAAGTTGGCAAAGTATATATATCTA